TCCCGACTCTGAACTAGATGAGATCAATTGCATGGCACAACAGTTTTCAACCATTTCAGAACTGCCCATCAAACCCTTTTCAAATTCAAATTACAAAATGTTCTCTCTCCCTTTCTACTCCTTGCTTATGAAGTATTCAAATTTCTTAAACTATGTTCATTTAAAAAGAGTCAAGCATAATTACAATCCGTATTAATATTTCAAGCAGACTTTCCACTCATAATATTTTGCAATACAAAATACATTACAATCTGTATTAATATTTCAAGCAGACTTTCCACTTGTAATATTTTGCAATACAAAATACATTACAATCTGTATTAATATTTCAAGCAGACTTTCCACTTGTAATATTTTGCAATACAAAATACATTACAATCTGTATTAATATTTCAAGCAGACTTTCCACTTGTAATATTTTGCAATACAAAATACATTACAATCTGTATTAATATTTCAAGCAGACTTTCCACTTGTAATATTTTGCAATACAAAATACATTACAATCTGTATTAATATTTCAAGCAGACTTTCCACTTGTAATATTTTGCAATACAAAATACATTACAATCTGTATTAATATTTCAAGCAGATTTTCCACTTGTAATATTTTGCAATACAAAACACATAAGCCTTGAATCATAGAGGTTCTAAGGGATAGAATAGCAGCATTTGTTACCTATATGCTTGTGGATGCTTTTTTTTATGTTTATACCATATGGGACCATCTACCCTTTTTAAAATCTCTTCTAACGTGTCCTGCAAAAAGGGGAACTATTAGAGGAAAATAATAAATGTGCTCTAGTATGTGAAAAAACTATATATGCCCAGCAAGTTCTTCTAGCTTCTGTTGATAAAGCATCATTCAAGCATCTTAAGTCTATTTACAAGGCAAATTCCTTTAAAATGATATTTGATTAGCATCCTTAATTCTGCTTCTTCAGAGGGAAAACTAGCTGTTGCCTTATGCTAACCAAAGAGTAACACTAATGCACAAATACACATATCTCTTTGGTCTCTTCCTTTGAATAAAGGGAGAGTTTTTTTTAAAGTACAATGTATCTGGATGCCAGTGAACAGAAACGAATGAATCTATATTCCACTGATTGATTCTGGAGGAAAGCCTACTCTGTTGAGTGTAGCCGGAAGCAACCATTTGAATGGATGTATTATTACTACATACAGTATTATACTTTCTTTGGTTTGGGGACTGCCTGGCTTGCTATACTCTGTGTTTTCAACATGACTGTGAATAATTCAGATGACAGACACAAGTGAAATTGAAATAGGAATTTTGTAACTGTTGTATTGCTTGTCCATTTTTGGCAACAAAACACATGCACTGAATTTATCACATTCTATTTAGTTGTGAAAGAGCAAGAAGATGATGGTTCTTAAGCTCTCTATTAGAGGGTTATTGTGAGAAATAATTTCATATCAACATCTATGTGAATGAAAAAGTATACAAGATGGTTGTAATTCCCATCCTCAGTTTCAGTAAGGAATTAAATAATACTGGTCTATAATAGAGTTTTTATTTATTTGTTTGTTTGTTTATCAAATTTGTACAGCACTCCCATCTCACAGAAAAGCAACTCTGGGCAGCTCCAATAAAAACAACACATACATAAACAATCAGTATAAAAATATAAAAATCAATCTTAAAATATAAATATGATAAGAAACAAATATACAAACCCTAGGCAAGAGAAAATAAGGATAGTTAGGTCATCAATAGAGCCATCTAAGCATGTCTCCGGTTCCCTGGGAGCCCCAGCCTGGTGACATAACCAGGTCTTGAGGGACTTCCGGAAGGTCAAAAGGGATGGAGCTAATCTAAAATCCGGGGGGGGGGGAGGAGAATGTTCCACAAGGCGGGTGCCACAGCAGAGAAGGCCCAACACCTGGGAACCCCCAATGTACGTCCCTAGCTGATGGTACCTTCAACAAGCCTTCTCTGCTAGGTCTGACCAGGTGGGCTAATGTAATCAGGGAGATGAGGTCCCTCAGAGTTAGAGTTCTTGTAAATAATCCTTCCCCAACCTGGTCATATCAGGTGGGAATTCTGGGATTTATAGCCCCACAAATCTATCATTATTTATTTATTTCTATGAAATACAATGGCACCCACGGAAGACACAGATAAAAAAAAGGAGTGGGACCACTTGTGTGGTCGCAGCTGCCATCTGGACCTTTTGGACCCCCCCCCCCCCAGTCAAGCCCACTAACCAGGGGAACAATGGCCGTTCTACTGGATTTTGCTTCTTTTCAAGCAAAACCCCAGCAACAAAAGTCAGCTTGGCCAGAAGTGGCTCAAAATGCATAAAAAGGCACCTAGAGAATAAAGTAGAAAAACAAAAGGAAAGAAGAAAATAAGTGCTGTACAGAATGGAAGAAGAAAATGGGATTTTTTTAGCCCTCCCCATGAAGCCTTGCAAGGGTATTGGGGGAGGGTCAAAAAAGTCAAAATGGCAGCTTTGCATGCACAGCCAAAGCCCCATCTCCTTTTAACATCTGTCACTATCTTGGTTTTTTCTTTTCACTCCATACTTCAAGAAACATCATCCTCCGAACTAGGAAGAAGCTTGGGCATGCTTTTCATGTGGACAGAACTTGAGATAATGGGAGGATAAAATTCTGGCAATGAGTCATCCAACTCTCCTTTTCTTTCATTCTAACATTGCTCTGTATTTATAGACTGCTGTATCAGGATTGTAGGCCCAGCTGTGTAAGGTGCTGGGTGGGAGGGAGGGAAGGAGGGAAGGAAAGGAGAAAGAAAAGAAAATACATGCAGCTTTGTGCTTTGAAAACAAATCCCAGTTCCTGCCCTTCTAATTTTTATTTCCTCCTGTACAGTATAGTTTCAGGTTTTCCGTTAATGCCAGCATGTAATAGGATAATAATGGATAATAGATACCCTGGAGCCTAGGTAATTAATACCCTCTGACTAGCTAGCCTATCACATAAGCATGCAGTACCAGTCTGTTCATCCAGCTTAACACAGAGGTGCTGCCTTATGGAACTGCTTCCCATTAGAAAAAAGACTGCAGGCATCAGGGTTGGAGCAATCCACAAGCCACTAATTATTCTCTTTACTGGCTTGCCAAAGGAAGCCGAAGATTATTTCATTTCAGGAATTTTTTTTTTGGCTTGGGTTAATATTTTTAGCTGAATTACAGAAGGAGAGCAAAGGGACATGTAAGTCCAAAGCCCAACTAGCTCACTCTGGACAGAGGAAGAGATTTGGGACAGTGGGAGGACCGGATGGTTCCTTTTTCTTGTACTCCTCTAATAATTCAGGTTTCATTTTTTAAATCCCCCAAACTGGGGAGCTTCCAAACCAAGCAAAAGGACAGCTTCACATAGAGGGCATTGGACAGATCCAAGATGAGGCTATTAAAGTATGGATGATAATAACCAGGTTATCCCAATCCAGAAAAGGGTGTAGCGGGAATACCATCTGAAAAATGATAGCAGACCAGGAATTCTCTAACATTCGCAGTTCATAGCACTTAAGAATAACTAGCAGTTCTGCTTCCCTTAAAAATTTAAAACATTCCATAGCACTAATGTGATTCTGCTGCAGTGCCTTGCAGTGCACACAATTTGAGAACCACAGTAATAGACACTTCTAGCTAGAGAAGTCATGTGGACCTTGAATGATAAATGACTTTAGGGCCACCCAAAACTACAAACCTTAGGGAGTGAAATCAGTCTGAATGGTCATGTTCCCCAATTTCTGTACTTGGAAATGACCTATCCCTAGAGTCTATCTTGTGAAGTGAGACCACCTCAATGCATTAGCCTTTAAGATATCACTGCATCAAAGTGCTGGTTTAAAACATCCTGTTTCAAATGTTATTGAAAAATAAACCTGAGTGTCAGCCACATATTGAGGTTGTCTCACTTCCCAAATTCCTGCTAGCTTTGCAAAGATGTTAAACAGCATCATGGACAAAATGTTGTAGACTTGAAAGCATAGGTGCCAGGGTTCAGAGACACAGTCAAACAATGTAATTCTCTGTAACTCTCCTTGTAAATAAAAGTAAAACCACCATCCCAAATGCATAAGGCAATCTAAAATATTGTTATCAGCAGTATCAAAAGCTGCTGAAAAGTCTAGCAGACTCAGGGGGTTTAGAGTCCTCTTGTCCCTCTTCTCCAGAAAGTTAACCAATAGAGTAACCTAACTTGACTGGACTGAATTCAGACTAAACTGAGTCAAGATAATCAGGGACCTCCAAGATTTGGGATGCACCTATTTTGTTTGCTAACATTGTGTAGTATATACCAGTCTTTCAAACTATGCCCAAAATGGTTTACTGCAACTTGGACATATAAATATCTAAATCCAAGGAAGGCTTTTTCAGAAGTGGATATAATACTGATTTTTTTAAGGCTGCTGACACTCAAGTGACAAATATATCAACCTTTGGATCCAGGTAGATTATCTCTCACAGCTAGGACAAATAAATCACAAATAAATAACCAAGGGAAAATGTGCAGAAAGAACATTAGTACATCAGATAAGCACCTTCTCCATGTCCTCAAAAACTGAACTAGATCCCACCTTCAAAGCTAAATGTCTACTTCAGCTAAGCTTTCGCTGATATTGTAGCAAGAGAAGTCCCTTGCTTTTCATCCCCTCCGAAGCTGTCTCATCCTCAGATCCGAAGTAAATACCCCACTGCAGGAGCAGCAGTTAACACACGCTGGCAAGTAGAAAAGGCGCATCACAAAGTACATCTCTCCATTCACCCCGACCAGAACGGGTGAGATTGTCTTCGGAGGCGCCCCAAACGGCTTCGGGTATTTCTCATCTAGGAGCGCAGAGAAAAGGGCCTGAACGTCGACGGACCAGGCGGCTCTCGGTTGCCGAAATGGTCTCGGCGCGCGGAGAGGCGCGCCAGATGCACGCATAGCGCGCTGCCGCCTGGCAGAGAGACGAGAGAGGGTGGTGGCAATGGCATTGCCAGTCAACTGCAGCCCATGCGCAGTCGCTGAAACAGCAGCCCTTTCCTTCCCGGCGGGGCCCCATTTAAGGCGCATTACCGGAACGAGCTGAAGCCGGAGAGACGTGGAGTCGTCAAGTCGAAAGTAGAGCCTACACGCAGCTGAACGCTTGACCGTCGGCAAACCATGAGGGAGATCGTGCACCTGCAGGCCGGCCAGTGCGGCAACCAGATCGGGGCCAAGGTGAGAGACGCGGGCTGGAGGGACTCTTCCCTTCCCCGGGAAGTGTCTCGGCTCTCGGGCAGGAGGCGATCGGAGAGACAAAGGAGGGGAACGGTGCTACCGTGTCCTCCAGGAGCTTAACAGTACCATTTCGCTCGGGTTCGAGGCGGGTGGGGGGCATCAAGGGCAATGCGATTGAGATTCGCTGGCGGCGTGGGGGGAGGCCGAGCGGGGAATTCCGCTGCTCTGATCTCTCTCTTCCCGTCCTGCTCCTCGGGATTGCCTGTCCGTAATGGCTCCCTACCGGAACGCGCCTGGAGTGTAGGATGGGGAGATTGGGAATGGCGAGAAAGCGCGGTGTGGCAGAGAAGAGAAGACTGCTTTGGGCGCTTAGAGCCTTTGGAGAAGCCCTCTTTTCTTTGTGCCGCATTTTCTAGCCGGGGACCTGTGGCGGGAGTGGGCGGACCTCTCTGCAATGCGGCCGCCAACATGGCTTCCGCCATCCTCTCTCGTCTGAAGAAATCTCAGCAAAGGCGGCGGAGGCCACGCGAGCGCCCGTCTCCCTCGTTTCTGCCGGGCGCGAACTGGTCCTCACGTGGTGTTTGGCTGAGGATCAGGCACGAGACGCGTTCCCGCAGTCTGCCGGGAGGCGCCCGGGCCCCGAGCCTTCGATGCCGACCCGGTCAGTCAGGTGTTCTCCCGACCGACTTCGTCGCGCTTAGATTCTTGTAATCTCTGTAATGTAACTGAGTTTGTGCAAAGCTAAGTGCAGTAAGAAGTTGTTCTGCAGTAGGGTAGACTCTGTCCTTTGATGTATAAAGCAGACTGTGAAGAAGGCCTCCCAGCAGTCTTCCCCAACCTGGTCCCCTCCACATATGTTGAGCTGTACCTGGCTAAAGAAGGAGAATTATAACCCAGCAGCGCATGTGTAGGCCATGCACCAGCCTTGCATTACTGGGCATCTTACAAGACAGAGTTGTTGTTCATTTAAACTTGAGACGTTTCCTCCTTTAGCACACAGTGCTTACAGCACGTCTGAGCGCCGTGCACTTCTTTTAGGATGATTCTTAGATTGCGTCCTGCCTTCCAGAAGCACCCTCAGAACTACTTAAATTACTTCTGTCTTTGGATCACTTCCCATAGCCTGGCTGCCCTTGATATCTTAACCACAGCTCTCACAAATAGCACTGGATTGGAATATCTTCTCTTAGGGTTAGGGTTAGGGTAGTCCACCAGGTACCCTCTAGAACCACATGTCCCAGCCAATATAGCTAATGGCGTGGAATGGAGGGAAGCCCTCAAAGGCATCTGCTATCTACTATTCCTCTTTGCCTTAGAATGCCATACAGGTAGTCCTCATTTAGCAACCACAATTGGGACTGGCAACTGGGTCATTAAGCGAAGTGGCTGCTAAGTGAAACTGCAGCTATGCTTATGATCTTACTTCAGTTTTCCTTTGCTTTACAGACCTGCAGAGGTCATAAATGCGAGGACTGGTCATAAAGTTACAATCGTAACTGCAAATGGTCACTAAATGAGGCAGTCACTATAAACAAGGACAACCTGTAGTTGTACCTTGACCTTAATACTGTTGGAAAGGATGCAGCAGGATCCAATATGTTATCTGGATCAGTTTTCCCCAACCTTCAGTATTTAAGATGACAACTCCTATTCATTCTGCTTGGCCACCATGGGACTTATGTTCCAACATCTGGAATTTGTAAGTGGATCTGGTCTTTCACCAAAACCTAAGCATTTCTAGAAAGCTGTAGCCAGCTCTCCACTGTCTTAGAAAGTTGTGCTTCCTTTCTGTTAATTTGTATCCACAAACTGCTGGCTTAACCAGCCTGCCCTGAGAAAAGAGGAAGTTGATCAGAAATGTACCACACCTTTTCCTCCTGCCCCACCTTTATTAGCAAGATAACCCTTCCCATTAAGATTTATGGATATCTGAGGAAAGTGAACCTTGTTCTTTCTCCTCCCTCCCATTACTGACACAGGGACTGGATTGTTACTAAACCAGTCCTCTAGGAGATCACTTAACAGTTCTGTTGAGGCCTAACTATCACAGAGCAGGTAAAACTGGGCTGTTCCACCTCAGACTGCACCAAAGGGAGCTCACCAAGTGTAACTGGTGTGTGTTTCCTCCTCCTTGTAGAAACCTAAATACTGGGGAGAGAGCTGTTGCTTCCTGGGTGCCTATTAGCTACGTAAATGAGTTTTCCCTTGTGTGAGCCTTCTCCTGCAGTCTGAAGTAAGATTGCCCATGAGTCACCATTGCTCAGCTCATTTTACTTTTTGAAAGCTCAGCAAGCTGTCTCTCGGGATGGATCAGTCTATGAATAACCTTGAGCTTAAAGAAAGAGATATGTACCAGCTGGGCTATTTTTTTCAGAAGGCATCCTTGTTTTTCTGACAAATGGCGACCATGCCTGGTATCCCTGCTCACCGCATGTGGTTGATGCATCTGTTTGACAACTATCCTGCTGCAAGGCCCCTCAGAGATAATGCTGTGGTTCCTCTAAACAATGCGAGCAGCTCTTCTCCCTGTTCCTCTCTTAAAGTGATACTAACCTGTAGCTACATTTTGTGAGGTTCCAAAATTTTTCTTTAAAAAAACAGCAGCCCACTCCCTTCACACAGAGGCCCATGGACACTTTTCAGTGTGCTTTCTTGCAGATAGAAGATTTGTCCCCACTGTTCATGTAGTGGCACGGGGTGTATGCCAGGGCATTCCAGTTCGCAGAACCAAGCTGGTGTCAATAGAAGCTTCAGCCTTTAGAGCAGGGTTTCTCAACCTTGGCAACTTTAAGATATGT